AGGGCTAAAGAGATATAAATAATGGAAGAACAGACACAGACTGTACTGATTTTATTCCCGTTTGAGCAATAACTGCACATGAGTTCCTATGTGTGCAAGCACAAATGGCAAATAAAGTTCTTGAATCTTGAATCTTGAATCTACATCGGTACAAAGTAGCCTCCATATCAGTGGTTAACAACCATTTTCATATTATATTAAATGCATAACAATAACAGTAGAGAACAACTGTACAATGAACCAGAATAATGAGCACAATAACTGCAGGAAGGTTGCGTAAAACAAGTGATTTGGATAAATGTCAACGAGATTATTTCTTGTGAGCATCAGAGATAAGTTTCCTGATATTTTTAGGGAACTTTTTTATACTATTCTCTGTCTGTATTATGTATTTAAAACCTTCTTTTAAAGGCTTCTTTTCTGGCAAATTCATTGTTTTCTCCTCAATGCTTTGCCATTATCCTATCAGCTCTTTGGTTGTTTTAGCTTTTCTAAATTTAATATTTAGTCAAGTCTATTTGCAGATTTCTGACTCCTGCTCAACCACTCTCTATCAAAATGGGTTAATAAAATGCTTTTGCTATATTTTTGCAAATCTGCCACAATATTAATTTTGCAGCACCAATTTTGACATGAAATAGTAGGGGAAACACACATGTTACCAAGATACTAGTACTGGTGAGTACTGGCATGTCTGATTTTTCTCCACATGAGTACCCTTGCTTCTTATTGAGTACTGCCAGAAATGGTGAGCATGGCCGTACCCACCATTGAGGGGTCCAAGGGGTATAAAAGTTGTGAAATAATTGCCTAAAAATAAGCCCCAAAACCCCCCTGGCAACCTTGGTATTTCTAAAACCCTGCGTACAGCAGTGCTGGTGAGATACTACTACACTGAAACTATCTTTATCCTAAAAAGGATAAAACATGGATAAATAATTGTGGTTAGGGTTATGTTGTGTTGAGAGTTAGGGTTGTGCTGATTTAAGGTACTGGCAACTTAATTAAGCCTTAAGCCAGTGTAAAAATTACAATTTGCGGTTTTAGCCAGTATTTTGGTTTGGAGCTGTAGCCAGGCAACCAGAGGAAACAATTTGCCAGGTGGTGCTGGTAGAAAATGTATTTTCAGTGCCTTAAGGTAACAAAAACACAATGATTCCTATATTTAGGGTATTATAAATATAATATTCCATCTCCGAGAATAGATCCTCCTAAATGTGACACACTGGACCTTTCAATTTTGGAGCTTTAAAGAGGCTGGACTACAGTCCCAGTCAGATACAACTCATATTACCTTATATCAAGTTCTTTAAGGAGTTAATGTTGTCTATCTCAGTGGATGGCTGCTGCACACCCTTGATCCTGCACTTGTTCTTTGAAGATCCCTTTCACAATATATTTGATTTCACAAGGCTGAGTGAGCTGTTCTGGCTGCTCTGTTACGTTACGTAGGAGGAACATTTCCTGGCATGTTAGGTAGACTGAAAGTCTTAGCAGGAATCAAAAATGCCAAAAAATACAAAGCAACTCTGAGTGAACAGCTTCATCACCTTATGGTGAAGCATTTCTCTCCTGATGGAAGCATAATCTCCTCAGGTTGATCTAGTCTCTTGAGTAGTCATTGAAAGGGTGGATGAAAATGAAAACAGTATGAATCACTCACTGTGGTTGGCGCCGGCACCACTTCTCAACTCAATTCAGCATCTTGGTATGGCAATGGAAACAGCATGCTCCACAATTACAAGCAAAACACTTCAAAATAGGAATTCCTAAAGAGTATATTGGTGTTAGTGCATTTGTGAAACTTGCAGAATCTACGCCAAAGCATAGAGTAGGAGCTCATAGTGGACCAACTCCCTATTAAAATACTTAGTGTTCCTTTATTTTGGCAGGTACCTGTAATTACCTTTGTTCACAATCATGGCTCTCATCGTGTCTTTTTCCCCAGACAGCCACAAAAATGAAAATGCCTGGTGGCTGTTTCTGTTTATCATATCCAAGAATCAGAGTGCAGCTGCATGTACCAACCCAAACACACCAATTCTTGGAGATACAAATGAAAATAAACCTAAGTAAGAGAGATTCAAATAATCGTGCTGTTGGTCTACAACTGGTGAACAACGTCCAAACTAAATGTTCCAGTCGTTTGATGGAGGGATAATTAGATTTTGGTAAATCTTTGGTACATATTGTTGTGCAGTGGCAGTCTAAAGAATTTAAATCAGAAAATGCTGTGGATATTTAGATCATCACTGCTTTTTACAGGCATTTTATTAAATATTTAGACGGTTTACTGGGCAGCAATAAAGGTCAAATACAGTTCAGCAAGACTCAGAGTATACAGCCATGCTAGCAGCTCTGTGGGGGTTTACTTAGGCATGAGGGTGCTTTCAGCTAAATGCTAACAGACTCACCATACTGACATGCTGATGCTAAGCAGGTACTGACCATGGTCACCATCATAGTTTAGTGGGCTGACAGTTGCTAATTAGCAGTAAACACATGGTGCAAAAATGTAGATCTGACACGTTTGAGTCTAGATAACTATAGATGCATGTCCAATTGTGAAAAAGTTTAAGCAGTATATTGTTTAAGGTATCAATATTATGTCTAATGTTCTTTCTTTGTATCGAACCCAGTTGTGCTTTCTTAATATTTACTTCAAGCAGTACAGTAGACACTCTACTGTAGGCCTCTTTCACTCAAGGCAACAGTTAGTACAGATAATTTGAAAGCAAAGGGGAACTCCAGCAATTTTGTATTGCACTCCCATAAAGTTAGGATTTGTGAGAGAGATCTGATAAAAAATGGTCAAAAATGAAAACAACAGATGCAGACATGTCCTGACTTTTAGCACTTAGTGTCAAACTCCAAACACACTGCATCCTACACTTCTTAAATCTCATTAGACGCTCTCACATCTTTTAAACCCCACAACTCCAGTCTGAAACAGAGGCTATTTCTTCAGACTTCATTTGTGTCCTTTCATGTTGGAGATACCGAAATTACCTGTGTCTGACTTGTAAATACTGTTCACATAAACATCACAATTATGATGCTTCATATTATGAGTAAACAAGCATCTCACGTCTCAATCTGGATATATCTTATGAATATAGTGCTTTATTGTCAAGGCAGAGTATTTTTAACTCTCACTCCAACATTGCAATCATACAATCTGATGATAAAACTCTCACAAGTCATAAACATAGAAATCTTTTCCATCTCGTTGCACATGACGTACACAGTTTTAGAAAGCCCCTACCATTGCATTAAATGTACAGGTGTTTCTGATATCGTGTCCATGCCTTGTATACTTCACAGTGGTGGTTCTGCAACATATAGCAGCAGGGCAGTCTCCTCAGCACATGTTAGTCATTAGAGAGTGCATCATTTTCAATTAGTATACAGATGTTTTAGCTTAGAAATTGAGACAGATTACATTATCATAACTGAGTTATGCAATTTCTTAGTTTAACCCCTTAGCAAGTTAGAAGGACATGCCTCCAGTATTGGACAGAATGAAAATATTATGTACAGTAAAGGGTCTAAAATCAATAGACCACAGGTAAATTCTAATATGCACATTCAAAACATTAGTCATACTTTATGGTCAATTTGAAATTGATTATTCATGCATCTGTAGTTGTAAAAAATAATACAATACTAGAATATTTACTGCAGCCCCAATCCCTCCAATCCATGCCTCTGTACAGTCAGAAAAGCAATGCTGATATGAAGTTTTACTACGTTTTACTACATAATCTGTTAATACACATTTTACACTGTGCGGTGTGTTTGATGAGTTGAAACTAATATATATGAGCTCACAAAAAGAATTTGAGAAAGCACAGACTGTGTTCATTATAGTCCCCTGGGACTTCTGTTAACATATTTTTTTCTAGATTAGTTACAAATAATATAAATAGCTAAAATCAGATTTTCTCTGGCAAAAGCAATCACCCACAAAGTCTGTAAGAGTATTATGGGATTTACATTAGCGAGGAAGGATTTATATGACAAAGTTTCCTGCAGATAAAAACAGAGTGCTTGTTAGAGTCGGTGTTAAAAATTCAAGCTGGGGGTGAAAATTCTCTTATATCTATATATATTCACGAAAGTCTGTTGTAACAGGATACACTTATTGCTAAGAAGCAGCATGACTTGTAATGCCAGCTATTTCACAAACTAATGGACAAAGTTAAACCAGTCCAACTTTCAGCGGCATGAAAATCCAGAGCTGTTGCACACACAACCCACTTAATAATCATTTAGAATCATCACAGAAGTGTGAAAATGTCAGTTTTGGGCAGTAATCAGGCCTAATGGACATTTAATTTGAATTAGATCAGAATCAAAGGGCTAATCAGAAATTAGCTAAAATTAAATGAACTAAAATGATTAGCTAAATTACCAATTAGCTAATTAACTCTCTAAGTTAGCTACAATGATGTGCCAAACTAAACAAACCTAAACAAAAATAATGAGCATCTGTGTTCCTATACTTTTAATTATTAGGTATAACCAAAAGTTTATACTTTCAAAATGTTGGTGTAGTTCCACTCTGCCTGCATACGTCACTAATACCATCACTGTAAACAGAAAAACTCTGTTTAAATGTCTCTAAACCTGCACTCACTTGGCCTGTCGCAGCATAATCCTCCTCAGGTCTGCTATCGGTCTGATATGTCATATGTTAATTTCAGATTTTTGCAAATAAATTGATCCTGATAGTGAA